TTTATCTTGTTTTAATTCCATTTTATAATTCAACTATGGCATAAAGACCTTACTAGGTGACCCTAATGTTTGGAAATGCCCAAAAGATAGTTACAGGAGATGTAGTCTGCAGCACAGAATGGATAAAAGCATACTACTTCTTTCTTCTGAACTAGTTGACAATTCCTGAGTAGCATAAGACACTGTAACTTTGCATAGTTTCCATTTTTTGTCTGCTTTGCAAAGAAAAGCATTAAAATATCATTGAAGTTGATGAACCATGAACCTGCTGTCTTTGCAATACAGAACAGTAGCCAGCAAGACAATGAGGAGCCTTGTGAGAATTCAGCACAGTCCCGCTTACCATATCCTATGCTAATCTAACAGCATTCCTGGCACTCTGACATACCTTGTGTAATTGATTTTAGAATTGTTCACTCAGCTGGGGTGAAGTTTCAAATTGGCAGTAAGTTTTTCAGGTTGTAGAGTTTAGTTAGAGCTGTGATTAGTCTATGCAAGTTGACATCAGCTTAAATAAGTCTGTATTATAAGAACAGGAAAGCAATAAAGCTATTGAATTTTTATATGAGTTTATTCAGTTGTGTTTCTAGCAACATAAACTGAAATTAAATTGAAGTTCTTATTTGCACAATAGGAATGCTCTTAGCACAGTGTTCCTTGGCATACTTTTAAGGACAACTTCTTGAAAGAATATTTTGAAATTAGGTGACAAATTTTGAAATAATAGGAGAATGAATAAAGTGCTCAAACAGATTTTCAGCTAACATTAACACATAATATTGATTGTTACTTGAAACGAGGCTGACATTTTGCTGTGCAAAGTAATGAACACCTAGTGAAAGTGCCCATCCAAATGCAAGTCTGAGCCAGTGTTCAGATGGCAAGAAGTAAGGTAAGGTAAAATGACAGAATTTCAAAGGTCGCTTTGAGCTAAACCAACATTTTCAGGCTTCAAAGAAGTCGGTATGAAAGATATAAACAGCAAAAGTTTCTAAATGTGCTTTAAATTAGGCAGACAAAGATTAAATTTGAAAAGCAGGCATGCAGTAAGGCACATTGGGATACTGCAGGGTAGCAAAGTTATGCTTTCTATAACACACAGAGCTCATTTCAGTATTTAAAAAGTAATCACTAATCTATTAGTGATGAACATATCCGAAAAATGGTGATAAAGAAGAACTAGCTGATGCAGCTGGCATGTGTCATCTAAATAAAAATCAGTTTCTTCACAGTCAATGGTTTTCTTCCAGAGTATGCTGTTACGATAAAAGAGTGAGTGTCACCCTTAATGTGGAACTTCGACTTACAAAAACACTTGATCTTTTGATTGCTCAGTGAAGGAAAAATGGATTTAGTTGCAGAACTTTGGAGGACAATTATTTAGGTTAATCCAAACTGAGAAATAGCACCTGGAATCGTATGAAAGTTAAACGAGCTATAAATAGAATTATAGAGGCAAATTTTGGCAAATGTAAAAGCAAAATAAACCACACTGGAAGAAGTAGCTTGAAGTATTGCTGAAATGTAAATGACCTATAACAACTCTAGAGGTATCTTCAGTTTCTTTAAAATTAAATTGCACCAGATTTATTCAATAACTGATTAAATGTCAAAGTTGGACCTGCACTGAGCAGGGAAGTGAACCTCACTGAAATGATGGTACTGTGATTTGAACTACCAACATGAGAAAAAGATGCAAGCATTAGTGTGGATTGTTACATTTTATGGCTTAAATATTATTTAACAAAATACAGCTGGGAAGGGGAAGAACTGTATTTTAAAATTTAGAGAATACATAGCTACAAACTGAAGAAATATGTGGATAATAAGATCATGCTGTGTTTTTAAGCCACCTGATCTATCTTCAGTTGAACAGATACAATTCATATCAATCGAGAATGTGACAATGTTTTTGTAATGTATGTGCTTGCCTATCAATAAGACTGAGTTTTGGTTATGTAGTGTATTGTTAATTTTGATTGAAGCTTATATATGAGTAAACTAATACAATATCCTGCCATCCAAAATTGCCATGAAAGTTTTTTTTAAACTATGCCTGTTGAAAATAGAAGATCATTGCCTATTAGGAATCTTTCAACGAATGCTGAAAAAAAGAAGTAGACTTATGCACTTTGCCCACTTTTACTTTTATGTAAACCATTAAGAAAATGGAATGTTGTTGAAAATAGCGATGACCATATTGATAATTTGTTTTTTTTTTAAAAAAAAACCCAATTACATCCATTGTCGCAACATAACACTGCATGTGTCAGAATCACTTTGTCAACAGTTAGTAACTGGCAAGAGTCCTGAAGCATGAGGGACTTCTGTAACCAGTTCAGAATTTAAAATTATAATAACAATTCATTCTTTGATCTGTATTTGTGAATATTTCATTTTATGACTTTCCATTTGTTACCTATACTTTCAGTAGTTGTTCCCTTATTGGGTCTCATATTGTGGAGCTTTACAAAGTAAGGAGCTCTTAATGTTCTCCGTGAAATAACCATATGATATTTTTAGTTTCTTCTCAGAAAGTAGTTTTCTGTATCTCAAAGTGCAATCATTAACACTTCACCTAGTAGTTAATTTTTCATAACCAAGTCTTCGTTTTGACTTAATGAAATACATTTTGTTTGTTTCTGATTTTGATTTGCATCAAATCTTGAAACTTCATTACTATTTGAATAACCTGTCACATGCAGTTGGAAGCTGATATCTGTTCCTTTTTTTCACAATCTTCTTTGGTATTCTTGTGATTTTGATACCTTTTACCTAGTTTGCTATGTGCTGAGAGCTTTCCTAGTTATTGCTGGCCAATTTTGTTTTGTTCAAAACCCCAAGACAGCCCATGGAAAGTTTTAGAAGCACACTCCTATTGTTTGAATAGCATGTAGGATGCTTTTCAGGGTCAGAATGCCAAATAGCGGGGCAGATCATTCAATCAGCTTTGTCAATAGCAAGACTTTCCAAATAGCTGTCTTTACACAACACCACATTTTTTCAATGATCGAATGAAGTTTAAAAACTTGTCAATGATACCATACTTAATAAAAATTCACCTTTTTGTATGTACTTTAGCGTCTCTGCTTTTTCTCGTCAAAAGAAATGCAGTGAATTTCCTTCTCTAACTTAGGATTGGAGTCTTTTCTTTCTTCATTTGGCTAAGATTGCTGTTGCTTGTTTTGCCACCCTGTGCCTTCCCCCACTCTCAACTGAAGGCGAAAAGGTAAAAAGGATGGAACCTCAGGCCTTCTTTCATACCATTCCCAAGCTAAACGTTTCTTGTCTGGACTTCCGACTAATACTTCACATCTGCACCAGATTTAACATTTCCCTGGCTTCAGGCTGCTTTTCTTTATTTCAGCTTTCTGAAGACATACTGATAAAATATTATCCATCTTATTATAAGAAAACTTATATGCGTAGTGTTTTTACTAAATTTATGAACTTTTACTAAATCTTTTCCTGTAAGTGTGGTATAACAGATGCTAAAAATGTCAATTGGCTTCTTGAATTAAAAAGTATCCTCCACACCTGCAGTACATATTCTGCAGGAAATTCTTCTAGAAGATCCCTTTACAGTGGTGTTATACAGCGCAGTGATGAAATATTATCATAGAGATATATCTATGAAGACAGAGTTTCCAAATCTAGTAAAAATTAATTGAAAATATACCTGATCATAACAAACATTCTGTATTTAAATAACCATATCTCAGAGAGTTACTCCTGAATTGTGACTCATTTCGATAGACTTACTGGTGTTAATGTGGCGTTCTGGCAATGTAAGACTTAATTATACAGTTGTCGTATTTCTAGGACTTTGTCACAAATATACTGAAATGATTTTTAGTGCATGCAAAAGTATTCTAACCTTAGGGATTTTTAACTGTTCTTAAAATAGGACTTGTAATTCTTGCACTGCATTTATTTTTTTCAGCCATTAGATTTTCTTGGTCAGCAACACTTTTATGAGTTTGATTTGCTTACATCTGAAAAACCAGTTTTCTTTCCTGGCTGGTGAGCACTCATCAAAGAACTAGCCATCTTTGTCAATAAACACTGCAGACAGTGAAAATACTCTTTTTGAGGAAATGAGCACACTAGAAATCTTACCTGAAATATTTGATGTTTCAAAAATGTAATGCTTTGTATTATGTTGTCATGTATTATAATTTATTTCAGTATATGAAAATAGCATTGCATTGTCAGTTATGTAGACATTTATGTGTATATAATGTGTAAAAGCTCTTAAAAATTTTATGGTTAGTGGCTATTGAGACTTGAATGAAAGTCCCATTTAAAACAACTGTATATTCCACATTAGTTAGTATTTAAAAGATAACAAATTCTTACCTGTATGTAAATCTCATGCTTGTATAGGGCTTGGCTGTTTTCCTTGATTTATTTAATTTGCTACTTATCTTCATAGTTTAAGTTCTTCAAGACAGGAATTGTCTCTCTTTCTGTCCTTTCCTTCGGTCAGTAGAGTAGCTAATGTAATGGTTCTAATGATGTCTGAAATGCTGAGATTTACTGCAGTAAAATGTATTCAAAAGAGCAGCATGGCTATATAGTTATTATTTAAAGAATTTCTTATGCATTAAGATATTTCTTCGTTTATTTCTTAAACAAGTAACTGAATTTTAAACATTTTGGATAACAAGTCTGTCCAAGTAAGCCTCAAGACACAGTGATGGTGAAGTTGTATATAAAAAGGTATGAATATGTAAACAGGAACACTTTATATTTTATTAACTACCAGCTGCTAAGAATTCAAGGACCTTCAACTTTGTTCTGCTGGAGTGGTTTGTTAAATATAATTCATACATAAATCTAGTCCAAAACTATGATTTTTTTTTAATACTATTTTGATTAAGTAGAGCAAAGGTTAGATAGTCTTTTTGAAGTTGAAGGTACAGTTTACCTGATACCAGTGGTAAAGCTTATTAATAAAGTAAACTACTTGACTCATTTTACTATGTATTTTAAAACAGGTGAAGCTAATGATAAGGATGTTCAGGTGGTGGAACTTCCCATTGTTGACAGCTTACACCCACGGCCACCTTACTTACCATTGGCTATCCCCGAAGACCTGGCTGACAGGCTAATTCGTGTACATGGGGATCCTGCAGTGTGGTGGGTCTCGCAGTTTGTGAAATACTTGATTCGTCCACAGCCTTGGTTAGAAAAAGAAATAGAGGAAGCCACAAGGAAACTTGGTTTCAAACATCCAGTGATCGGGTGGGTATTTAGTTTTCTTTTTAACTGTCCGTGCTTCAGTATGTATAGTGATTTCTGTTTAGGACAAACTGGTTTATGATGGCTATCCAAGAGCCTCAAGCATTCTGTGGGGAGAGAGGGTGCTTTCTAGAAGGAGCTATTATTTTTTAACTGTGCATAATACAAGTTGATTACAAGTACTTCTTCAGCATACTTGCCTTCCTATAGTTGGGAAGATATATAAAAGGTGGCTCAATAGAAGGGTTTTTTTATGTGTCCTTCCATATCTGGTAATGTAATACAGAATTTCATTCATGTAATTGCCTTACAGCTTGTATTCCAGGCACTTTTCTGTCTGGGTCTTCTTTTCAAGTGCCTATAGCCTTTACAGTTGAGGAAAAAAGGCTAAGCCTACATTTTACATTCCACAGTCCACAACTAATTTTATTGTTGGCTGCACCTGAACATGGTATGTGCCTTTCGACTATGAATTGGAAAGGTTTGTATGGGGAGATAAGGGGCAAGGAAGGAAAGCACCTATGGGCAATGAAGAACAGCTTGTTGAAGAAAGGTTTTACTGTCACATAGCACGAAAAATTTACAGCTGCTGCTGTACTAGAGTCTACAAATATTGCTTCCTTTGCCAGAATTTTCCTTCAATCCTTAATATTTCTTTTTGTAGGAATATACAATAGGTCTGTCCAAATGTTAGTTGTCTTTTGACTGTTGAGTTGGTAGGCCACTTCACCACTGGCAAATCTGAAGACTTCTGTTTCAAGCATATGGGGGAGATGCATTTTTAACTACCTTCATTCAAACTCTTCATTGTAGTTGGTGTGCCAATATATCCGTGATGTAAATACTCCTGTTGTGTTTTTCAATTGTACTGATCAAGCGTTATCTAACTACACTGGATAACTTAACCTTCTGTGCAAAAGGAATACCTTGTATGCTATAATTAAATCTCCTTCATTCTCTTTCAGTTACTGTTCGCTTTCCTTGTAAGATTATTATATTGCTGTCAAGAACAGACTGACAGCTAGCTTCATGTTGTCAGCGTGTCTTGATGGACGTAAATGAGTTTTAACCCTTCCTTGTTTTTTGTAGGGATTCAATTTAATATGCATTCTAAAAGAATAGAAGTGATATTTAAAGGTCAAATTTCAGTTGCTAAAGTATGTTTTGTATTTATAAATTGAATTCCTAGTTTCTGCCTTTTTTCCAGTGTTCATGTCCGAAGGACAGACAAAGTAGGAACAGAGGCAGCATTTCATCCCATTGAAGAATATATGGTACATGTTGAAGAGCGGGTTGA